ATCCTGGCGGTCATCATTCCGGTGGCTATGCACCGCAATATTATCCAAGTGGTCCATCGTATTATCATAAACCAACTTTCTTCGAGAAGCCACATTACCAAGAAAGACCACAAAATCATTACCATAACCATTATCATAATCATCAAAATCAAGAACCTTCTTGGTCAGGCAACCATCAAGGGTATGATCATGGGTATGGATATAGACCAGGACATGGATACGGAGGCAACTACGCAGAGAATCCCGGACATTATGCAGGAAATTATGGAGGCTATCAAGGATATGCCAGAGATGATGAAGATTATGATTTTGCTGACTATAATGCCAACGGTTATTATAGAAATGCTAAAAGTAATATTAGCGCTGATGAGTTTGGACAATCACAAAATAACAATCATGCTCGTAGTGAAGGAAAGGTAGCCTTTCGAGACCGAAAGAAGCGAGATCTGGATAATCGGGTTGAGATTAAAGAGGTAAGATCAAGAGGTTCATACGTTCATAAAGCCCTTGGATGAAGACCATTGGAATTAATTACCGTGGAAATTCCATACCGACTCACTGACTGTTGACCAAAAGGAGTATTATATATGACTATTGACTTTAATTATTTACTTTCCTCTCTGTCTCTTTTCTTTATTTCTTCTTTCTTTTTTGCACAATAACTTATATTCTTTAATAATATGAGCTCTCTAAATATTGCTCAAATTGTAAATATGTATATAAACTAGCTGTACTACTTATGTATGCATATTTCACGATATTTTATTTACTTTGCAATCACACTAACAACGGCAGCTGTTTATAAAGCTTTTACCAGATCTCTGAAATGTCGCGACTGCTTCCAATAAATTTTAAATTCAATACGCAACTGACATTTGCAAATTTTATTTAAAAGCAAACGCTGACCTGGTGTACATAAATATTTGGCATTCAATTATTTTTTTTTTTTTTTATTGATTTCAGTCAATTTTAATATTTTTTTTTTTTTTTTTTTTTTCATAGCGTCAATTTGGAAGACCACCAGTTTGTGGACCAAGACACGTTTGTTGCCGAAAGAATCAAATTCGTCCCGGAAATAATCGACCCCAGTATGGTCAATGTGGAGTCAGAAATGGTCAAGGAATCAATGGACGTATAAAGACTCCAGTTTACGTTGACGGAGACTCAGAATTTGGAGAATATCCTTGGCAAGTAGCCATCTTGAAGAAAGATCCTTCTGAGAGTGTTTACGTATGCGGTGGAACTTTAATATCACCAAGACATATTTTAACTGCTGCTCATTGTGTTAAAACTCACCTGGGACATGATCTTCGCGCTCGCTTAGGTGAATGGGACGTTAATCATGATGTTGAATTTTATCCGTACATTGAACGTGATATTGTCAGTATTAATGTTCATCCTGAATTTTATGCTGGTACTTTGTACAACGATATTGCTATTTTGAAACTCGACCACGATGTTGACTTTGAGAAAAATCCTCATATCAGTCCAGCTTGTTTACCAAACCCACATGATGATTTTACTGGCGCAAGGTAGTTATATCCTTCATTATAATCTGAAAATTTATATTGATTTATTAATTAATATTTTTCATACTAAAACAATTTTTTTGTCTTCACAGATGCTGGACAACAGGTTGGGGCAAAGATGCTTTTGGTGATTTTGGTAAATACCAAAATATTCTGAAAGAAGTCGATGTGCCCATTGTAAGCAATGCAGTTTGCGAAAATCAAATGAGAAGAACTAGACTGGGACCGAGTTTCAACCTTCATTCCGGATTTGTCTGCGCTGGAGGAGAAGAAGGTAAAGATGCCTGCAAAGGTGATGGAGGTGGCCCGATGGTCTGTGAGCGACAAGGAATTTGGCACCTTGCTGGTATTGTTTCTTGGGGAATCGGTTGTGGACAACCCGGAGTTCCTGGTGTTTATACGCGAGTCTCGCACTACTTAGACTGGATTCGTCAAAACTCTTACTAAAATACTTATTTTATTTGATTTTACTTTGCTTAATTTAAGTTTTTTATTTAGTAAGTCAGTTAATATTATTTATTTAAAAAATAACTGCAACTTGATGTTGTAAAACTTCATTTTTTCATAATTTATAAAAATAAGTTTTCAAACATGCTTAACTTATTGTTAATTCTGTATATAATTTTTTTAATAATCAATATGTATTATTTAAACCATACTTTTTTATTATAATTATATTTATACTATAAATGATACATTTAAGTATGAAAATTTAGATCTCAGTAATAATTTTCAATACTTTGTAAAATTTAAATTAATTCGTCAATAAATATAATGATTTTAATTAATTAAAATGAATAATTAATTATAACATGAAAACAGTTTTATGTTCTATTCATAAGTTAAAAAATTATAAAATTTTTAAAAATAAAAAAAAAAAATAATAAAAAATTTTGCCATTATTTCATGGATTATGGTAATAAAAAAATTGATGAAGTATTCAAAAAATTTTAATTATAAGCAAAATTATCGGACCCGACATATGCTCGCATCGATTTTTGTCGTGAACGCGCGGGCGACAGAAAACACATCTTCGAGTAATCTCGAAACAAATCTCCCCTTCCCTTCTACGTTGGTCGCCAGAGTAACCTGACGCCAACTCACTTGCCGGGCCCTGACTCGGAGCTCGATGATTGTTTTATTTATTGAAACTGACTATCTAATCAGCGCTTGCGAGAAAAAAATAATCTACTGCCCCCTGTCGTATGGTATCGCAACCTAATTTTATTGAAGATTCCAAATCCCTGAGTCTAAAATCTTAATATACGCTTACACAGAAAATTTTTAATTTTTTAGAAAGTCTCAATAATTTTTATGAAACTAAAAATAAAAAATATATATAAATTTATCTATGCACTGTTTGATAGTATTGTAAACTATGGTATTATAAGCAATTACCATAGACATTAGTCTTTAAATTAAAAAAATAAGATTAATAAGAAAAAAATAATAAAGTGGATTGTAATATTTAGTCACTAAATAACGTATTTCCTTTTATAATGTGTTTTTGGTATACTTTTAAAATGATACTTGTTTTTCACGATAAGTTCTGTTATATTGTTGACTAGATTTTCCCAGACCTATATACAGGTGTTAACTGTAAAACCTCTATAAGTGCATACTTCGTATGTATATGTTTTTGTATCCTGGTAATTAAATAAATAAATAAAAAAAAATCAATATCACGGTTATATAAAAATATCATACATCGTGTAAATCATTTAAAAATTAACAAAAATTCACAGAAAAAAAAATTAACTTGAATGGAAAAAAAAATTCTTAAAACAAGAAAATAATTTTATAAAGTTTCATTGTCTTCAGGACAAACGAAAAATTATTGAATCAAGTAAAATTTACTTAAACCAAGAAAAATTTCTTAGTTTAAAAATTTTTCTACTTAAATCATCAAAATGTTCTTCAAAATTATTTACTTGATAAAAAATCTTAATTTTGAAAAGAAAATAAAATAATTATGAAGTAGAAACTCGAGAGAATGTATGTGAAAATTTTTCTTAAATTTCTATTAATATTTTTTGTTATATTTATAATTTTTTTTTAACATAAAAAAATTTTAATTGACGTTTTTTTTTTTTTTTAATTTTTTATTAAATATAAATACTTGCTTAATTACAAACAGTATAGAGATAGCCATGCGGCATGCGTCTGACTTTGGTGATTATACCCAAGCAAAGCAACATTTCTTGTGGGTTAATAAATAGTCGGATGGGTGACCATTTATATAGCCCTGCTTCGACTGTACTGGTATAGGTTTTCTCAGTGGATTCCCCATGTCATTGTCCTAAAAGCTCAGGAAGCGGTGAGAAACAGGGCGAATGCGGTACAGAAAGCACGAGTCAATCCACATCCGCAATAAAAAGGCAAAGAAAAAAGAAAGTTACCAAGGAAATAAAGGCTTAAATTAAGAAATAAAAGGACCTGAATAGACTACATGTATACTAGAACCCCATGATTTATCTACTTAATTATTTATATATAGCTTCTTTTAAGATAAAAATCATAAAGATAGTTAAAAAAAAATTTTCTATTAGTTTTAGAGCTTCTCATTTCAAAAAAAAATTTATGTCGACTTAAAATCGTTAATAAAATGTGTTAGTTATAAATCTATCGATTTTTTGTTTTTTTTTATTTTTTTTTTTTTGCATATTGTATTTTATTTATAAGTTCTAAAAATTATAAAATTGTTGAAAAAAAAGTTTGATTATTTAATTCATTTGGAGAAAAAATTTGTTTATTTTTTCGGGAATTATGGTTATAAAAAATTGATAAAAATAATTATACTTTTAATAAAAGATTTCTATAAAAATTTTTTATTTTGAATAGAAAAATAAAATAATTAGGACGTAAAAATTTTAGATAATGTATGTGAAAATTTTTCTTAAATTTCTATTAACATTTTTAATTTTTTATTAACATAAAAATGTTAACGTTTTTTTTTCTAATGACATTAAAGTTAGCAGTCACTTAACAATTTTTTAATTTTATTTAACAGAAAGATTTGTTCCAAAAAATTATTTTTAAAAAATTGCATTTTTTATTTTTTTAAATTTCTAAATGTCAACTTTTTTTTCTTATTTTTTTTTGCTGTAATTTATTTGTTATAAAATTTTTTAAATTATCAAATATGTGCTACGTTAATTATCATTTTTTTCTATTTTAATTTTCATTAAATTAATTTATATGCAGTTTCTTCAATTGAAGTTTAATCATGAGAGATTGAAAAATTAGTAAATCAAAGTCTTAAAAGTTTCAAATTTTTACCGCCATGAAAGTTTGACGCAAGCGCATTCAAATAAATTTTTGCGCCAGCGTAGTAAACAAAAATCCATAACACATGATTTATAACATAACCTTTAATAACTTAAATAAATACACTGCACATAAATTTACTTGTTTGGTGTTTTTTATAACTTTTTCTGTTTTGTTTACTTGTCAAAAAAACGTCATAAAAAAATGCGGTATCAATATATTGGACGTACGCACGATTTCGCTGGAAAAACGCTGTGGGAAATACTTGGGAACTTAAAAAATTATGGAGTAGGACGACTTATAATTAGACATAGGTTTCAAAGCTATCCCGAACCCTGTTACATCAAAATATTAAAAGTTGCTGCACTGCCGAATCCAGTCGTCGAAATAAGACCTGCTTTCATCAATACACTGGTAAGTAAAAAACATATTATAATAATTAACGATTGATTAACTTACTTATTAATTAAAATTTGTAAACAGTGGGAGCGTACATGCTTGGTTCTCTGTGAACGAGTTTTCCGAGGTAAAAAATCCGAACAATTGATGCAAATCAGCTCAGCGTCGTACAAAACTGATTACCAATTAGTGCCTAAAGACGAAGAATATAAATATATAGATGCTACTAAACCAAGGGAAGAAGTCGTTATTTCAAGAACAATGGAAGTTCCTCCGTTGTTACGAGAAGTTGCAATTAGAAACCTCAAAGCGAAAGGAAAACCTGTCACTGAACCGCAAATGGATGTTATTTTAAATGAATTCGGAATTAAAACTTATAGACTTGCTAAAGAAGGTGAAAAACCAACGTATGTACCAACAATTGGAATTGGAAAAACGCCAAGTCCAAGTTTATATGCTAATTGTAAACCAATATAAATTTTAAAGTTTATTCATAAGTTTGTACCGCTTATTCAAAAAATATATTGTTATAGATAAATATCAGTTTAATTAAAAATCATTTATTATTAAATAATTAATTGTGATGTAGGATAATTGTCGGTAGTACTGCAGTTAGAATTTCAATAATTATTTCGAGAAATAAAAATATTAACTGAGTTAAAAAAATCAGAACACATAATTATTACTTATCGAAAATTGTCAACAGAAATAATTGAAAAATTAAATTTATTAAAAATGTTTTTATTTCTAGCATTCAGTATTCAGTAACATGAAAAAAATCCTTTATTAGTGCACACAGTAGTTTGCAAACTCTAAAAGTTAAAAGCAACACATAAATTTTGTTAACTCGAAATTATTTTTTTAAAAGACAGTCATATTGAAATTAGAATTTTTTTTATCTTGATTTATTTTAATATCGGCCATCAAAAAATTCAATTAATATCTATCGTTTATTCATGACATGCATATAGACAATTATACATTTTTAATTGCAGTACTATAAACTTTTATACTATGTTTTTTTTATATTCCAGTCCCGTAACAATATATATTTTTTTAATTTTACTATAATTTAATATTTTTTAATTTCATTAAATTTAACATTAATTTTTGAGAAAATTCTGTTTATTAATCATCAATTATTAAAAGCAGAATTATAAAATTTAATTTTAAACTTAAAAATAATTAAATAAAAATTTTTTTTTTCTTATATTATTTTTTATTTAAAATTAAATCTTCTAGCTTTGTTAGTATGTACTATATAAAATTTCATGCATAAACAATTTTCTTTTGTTTTACGTCAATATTTAATTTTTATATACATGACGTGAATATGATGAAATAAAATCATGATGTCTTCGCGTGGAGAATTCTATTTAACAGCTATATCGTCAAATAAATGCTTAAATGCCTTCTAAATGTGCTGAAGATTGTCCCAAAAGCAAAAAACGTCGGGAAGGTATGTTTCTTAATTCCTAAAATTCACTAAATATTTAAAATAAAAACAGCAATTATGAGTTATTAATTTTTTTTATTTTTTTTCAGCGTATGAAAAAACACTAAGAGAAGAGGAAAGAAATCCGACATTTGAAGTAAGCGAAGATGACGTGGTTGTAAGAAAAACAAATAAAAATTTACAATCAAATTATGACGAAGATGACATCTCTGATGGGACTGAGTATCTTAGTTTTTCTCGACCAAAGAGCTCTGCACGACCGGAAAGTTCACGCCCTAAAAGATCAAAAGAAAGATCTGTAAAATCAAAACACGAAAAAAAATATTCTGAGCATCGAGAAAAATTCGAAGAAGATGTATATGCTTCTAAAACATCAACTCGGCGTCGGCAAAATCTAAAAAAGAAAAGAAGATTTTCATCTAGGCTTAACGAAAATTGTGTAAATGAGGAATGTTCAGGAATACCTAAAAGAATAGTTGAAACAGAGAGTGAAGAGTCATTATCCTCAGATATTTCTTGTCCATCTCGATGTGAATTAGATTTGACGTTATTACCTTCACCAAGCTCTCCTTGTGATTCTTCGTGTCCTAAACAAGCTTTATTAGGTAAACGAAAATTTATATATTTTTTGTAATACTTATGATACTGAAATCAGCAGACATCTTAAAATTTTTGGGATTTTTATAGGAAATCAACTACTATAAAAAAAAAATATTTATAAAAATTCGCACTTAAAAATTTTTTTAATTTTCACAAATGGAATTTTTCACTCAATTTTTTTTATAATAATTTAGGTGTTATTAGCTATTACTCGCCCGCTCCGCTGGGCGCTTTATAGAATTACATTTTAAGATCTAGACTTGAAATTTAATTAGAGTATTGTTTTGACTTGCACAGATTCTCAATTCTATCGAATTGGTATGCACTTTTTATCCATATAATTATTCTAGCTAATATTCATTCTAACTTTCATGTGCAATCATTATATCATTCCCGCGTCTTTCTTACAAAAATGAATAATAATTGATTTGAAAAGAAAATTTTTTTAATGAGCATTAAAAGTTTCAGTTAAAGAAATTGCAGGTCTCATAAGTGAAGAAATCTGCCTAGCATATAAACATAACCAATAGAATTAAAAAATTTATTTTAAAAAAATGACAATCGAATAGAATAAATTTAGTTGCAATAAAAATTCGTTACTTCTAAGTCAAAAAAATATACGCTCCAGATAAGTAATCACCAACATATCATATACTATAACCTTCTCCGAAATACGGTGCATCTTATGGTATAAGTATTATCGGTTCAGTAGTTTTCGCAGTATAACCGGACAAAAAAACTGACTCTCCATTTATTAGTTTAGATAAAAATCCAAACGATTATCAGTCATCAGTGAATTTCAGTATCATTAAAATTGATTACTTGATATATTATAAATAATTTCAATTTTAGACCAAGAAAGAGAACGACATCAAGAAGAGGTTGATAAGTATTTACTTCATGGAGGACTAAGATACTTTGATGATTTATGTCATTGTTCATTGAAATGTCTCTTAACTCAAATTTGTGGTGATAAATTCATACAAAAAACTGCTTCATCAACAGCATTTTTTTTGCTAGGCATTAAATTGTGCTTTGAACTTGAGGCATGGTATATTCCGTTTTAAATTCAAGCAATTTATCTACAAAATTTAATGAGTTGGATGATTACAATTAATTAGGTATTCAATTGCATTTGAAAAAAATTTGTTCATTTTTTTTTTTTTTTTTACTAACATTTATTCAGAAATAACATCATTTTTTTATACTTACTTTATTTTTTAGTAAAATAAAAAATTTTCTAACATAGTATTACTAAAATCTTATTTTTTTTTATACGAGAATAATTTTACTTTTTTTTTCAAATTCACTTGTAAAACAATCAAGGATGCAATAAGCTTGTTATTTAAGAAAATAGAGCTAAGATAGAAAAAAAAATTTTACTTCATTGCAAACAATATTCGTCACATTCAATAATAATTTTATAATTAATACTTAACTAGTTTACCATGAAAATAAAATTTATTTTAAAGGAAACGTAAACACATAATCAGATTTAATAATATTGCACAGATTTTTTTATTGACATAATAACATATATTTAATGAATATAGTTACATAAAAAAAATAATTTCATAAAATATTATATCCATAAATAATTATTAATTTATAAATCTACATATTTTGATCAACAAAAATAATTTAAAGAAAAGTTTCTATTTTTTCTTTCCCATAAAATGAAATTTATCAACAATTAAAATAAAAAAAAACCGATATTTTATAACTTTGGATTTTTTTGTTTAAAACTGCTTTTCATGATACAAAGTAAAATAAAAATTATCAAAATGATAAAAGCTGAAAAAGCATACGGGATAATTAAACGATCATCAATAATATTTTTCTGCTTATAGTTTTTTGGTAAAATTACTTTAAAAGAGATATCATCAAGCCAATTAATAGTTTGATTGTGTGTCTTCAATTCTGCAAGACTTCTCGTTTTTCTTGAATGTCCCGCAGGGCAATTTATCACGCAGTCATTACCGTCTAGACAACCAGTAGCTTTAACATTCATTACCATTTCATCGGTTTCTTTCATATGATCAAACATGAAGGCTTGAAAAATCAGATAACTCTCCAGTGGTGTAACGCGATATTGTTCCCGTGAACAAACTTCCCGGATTTCTTGATTGAGACATCCATTCGAGTCTAAGATCCACATACTGTTAATTATTTTTTTCTGTATCTTGTTCTCCAAATGATGAATCGTCACATCGCTGATTCTTGAATACCGCCAACCTAGTAGTAATTGTTTATATAATAAAAATTTTTTTCTGTTATACTTGAATGAATTATATTGTAATTGGTGATTAATACTTACCATCACCTTCACGAACTGCAACTCTGAGAAGGATTTCTTCACCGAGAATAACTGTTCCACCCGGTTGAATCCTCGAGTCGAATAAATGATTCGATCCAAGAGTTTTTCGGTACAAACCGATCTCAGTTTCAAATGCATTTTTATGACCACCTGTTGCTACTCTTGGAGCCATTCTAGCGGATCTATAAATTAAATAAATACGTCAATAACAAAAAAAATTCAAAGAATAGATATATTATATTTTTATTATTAATTATTAAGTAATTATCCTTTTCTTCTTCTTTTGAACTAATTACCATAAGATAATTATTTTTCGACTAGTAATGAGTTCGAATTTGCTCATTACCGTTGAAATGATCATTCATTATTTTTAATATAATACGATCAACTGTTTAACTATTTTTTCGAATGCTTAGTTTTTAATAATTTAGCTATGGATTTTTTTTATGTCACTAATTATTTTTTTAAAGTCAATTTCGCAAAAATGTTTATATTTGGTTAATTTTTTTTATTTCCTCAACTTTTTTTTTTTTTTCCAAGGATAGTTTTATTTTACTCACACAAAAATTCTTAGTTATTTCGAATTTTAATAAAATAAAATAATTTTACTTTAATATTTATTTTAATTTACAAATTGATTGAAGTAAAAAAATATCATATTTCACAATCTTCTTTTTTGCTCTTTTAATAAACAATCGTAAATTAATAATTTTTAAGTTAAAAAAGATCAAATAAAAAAAAAAAAAGACAATTGTTTATTATAACTATCAATTTATTTTTTATTATGCAGCTATTATGTGTTTGAGAGACAACACAAAAAAAAAGTTAACAGACCAAAAAAACTCTCAAATTATAAACATCGTCTTCTTCGAAATCCTTTAAAAATATAATTTATAAATAACAAACTTACGTATCATGAGTCTTAACATGTATTCGTTTAGTATGCGAAGTAATTTTTTCCTGAGTCCGACACTTTAACAAAATCTTGACATCCTCATTAAGCTTGAGCCCAGAAACTGTAGCGAATCTCAGACTCAAGCAATAAAATTTCCCCGCATCCGTAGAACAATCTTTAACTCCACAGTTCCAAAACATGTCATTACTAAAATTGAACCTGTACTCATCATTAACTTTAACAATTTTGCAATATTCACTAGTAGCGCCTTCAATCACTGGATAGTCAGACACTTTCGGTGGTATAACAGACGCCTTAAAAAATGCTTCATCATCAGTATTTTTACAGGACATTGAATTTATCCTAACAAATCCACTAATTTCGTCTCTTTCAAAATCACTGGCTTTGATATTCGAGTGTCTGATCGCCGGTGAAAGGTAGTTATAAATCTCACGAGGAAACGGCGTTTGCAATTGGATGCTCGGTTGAATGATGGCCGAAGAAATCGGTCTTTGAAAGGCGCTCCTTACTCTATTATCAATAACTTCTGGTAGTACAAAATCCGGCTCTCCAGGGGGAAGATACAGATGTCTAGCAGTTGCAACTTTACTTTCGTTTGATTTTCTTGGAAAATTGATCATTACTTCATGTTGATGCTGATCTTTGAGCTCCAATGAAGCTCTATCAAGATTAGCTCCGCTGGACACGGAAAAACCAACAATAGCAATAACAAAATGATACAGAGCTTGAGTAAGTGTGTAGTATTCCATGTTTTCTTCGTAATATCATTGACTCATTTTCACGAGGATTTACGAGGAACGACTGAGTCAATAATCGTATGTTGAAACGTTTTTAAAGGCTTCTTCGGTTGGTTATTTTGGTCTCGACAGACACGTTTATGATCACACAAAACCTGTCATTGTTCTCATATATTGAACAAGACACGGAACACCAGCGTTGCCCATTATTTTATTAAGTACTTCGCTCCGTGATTTGGGCGATGATCAGGTACTTAGCATAAAACATCTTTCATATCCTCATTTTTAAAAGTTAAGGCCATTAGCGACAACCGATAACACCAGACTGGCTGGATGGCTTTTATACTCTCTACTTAAAAACATCATTAAGGCTGAGTGTTTATGTTGCGCATGTAATGCTTGAATGATCAATTTGGGTTAAAGGGATTTCACGGCCTGCCATCGAAAGTTATTTAGTGTATCACCAAAAGCGCGCAATTTTCACTGGGTCAACTAGTGTCGCTATAAATCGAGGGTACTGGTTAATAAAAGTCCTTTCTTCTTTTCTTCAGCTTTTGTTCTTGGCTCTTTAATATTCAGTTCTTAATTCTTAAGTACACGTCATAATTATTTGAAAGTGGGATCCACCCTATTTTTGACAATAAAGTATCGAAAAATAGATGCTTAAAAAAAATCTTGGTTTAGAAATTATCTAAATAGTTAAAAATACATTTTTCGATTGATTTCAAAGCTTTTAATATTAACAAAAATTTTATTTCGCTCAAAAATTTTTTTCTACATTTCAAAACAAAAAAAAATTTGAAAATTTAAATCTTTTCATTTATTTTTATTGAAATTTTTTTTTTTAAATTGAACAATAGACATTTTTGAACATATATATCAATGAACACATTTTATTGGATAAATATCTAGGAAATTTATTTATATTTTACAAAATTTATAAACGTACACGGAAAGAACAAGATGACACTGGATATCATCCCAGATTATACTGAGTAAAAAAAAATTTCAGATAGTAGTTAGTAAAATCTAGATTATAATAAATATAATCAAGATTATAATCCACATCAATATTATATTACGCAGTATAATCTGAATTTTTATTGATATTATTTAAAATTTTTTTTCACCACAGATATCACTGAGTGTAATTTGAGATGATATCCAGTGTCATCTTGTTCTTTCCGTGTAGAAAATAAAAGTATTTATTTCATTTAAAAAATTGCTAGACAATCTAATGATTTTAATAAATATTATAATAATGATTATAAAAATACTACGGTATATATATATATAAATACATACATATGTAAACTTTTGAAACAAATGCATTTTCTGAATCCGCTTGACGAGCTGAGTCGAAATATAGCAACATTTTTCAAAAGTTCCGTCATGAGGACCAATGCAATAGTTAAATTTCTGTGAAATCTACTAAAAATTAAAATGCGTACTGTAATTTTTAATTGTTATATTAACAAATTAACAAATTTGTCAAAATTTAAACAGTATCTTTTAAAGTTTGAAAATGTAAATCAAGCATAATAAAATGTAAATTTTATTATTGACTTTTAATAACAAAAATTTTCTTCTTTTAAAAATCATTAACTTTTTTTATAAACTGTCAAAATTATCATTTACCAAAAAATATGTAAATTAAAAAGCAATCAATTATAAATTAGAATGGAGAAAAAGTCCAAGTACTTATCATTCAAATTTTACCCAAAAAATTATATTCGAATAAATTGTTATCAATTATGGAATTTCAAGTTTTTAACAACATACATTATTTTTTATAAATAAAAAAAATTAATACTAAGATTAAAACATTGTTTGGAAAATTATATGAGATTATTTTTGAGCCTAATCAACAATAGCTTTTCTTAAATATTTTATTGAGTAAAAAATAATTAACTGGCATTCCAACTAATTATATGATCTAACAGTCAAGACGATAAACTGTAGAAGTGTAATTACTAATGACGTTAAAGAAACAAAATAAGATGTAAAGCAGACGCGATCTATTCATTAACAAGGAATAGCTTTTGCAGTAAAGTGAAAAGACGGTTTTATACTTCCTCGACTAGCGATGCATTTCAGGATTTCTATAAGCTCATAAACTACCCGTGTGTGTACGCGGATACTTCAAAACAAAAACTCGTTATGCCTCTGCTCGAGAATAACAAGGAAATGATTTAAATTTTAAGAATAATGAATTATTCTTTTCATTATGAATATTTGGAAAAAAAATTGATGCCTTGTTTGTCCTTGAGCGAGCGTCAAGGATCTCCGGGATTTATAACCGCTTGTTCTATTTCTTTTCTTCCTATCATATTACATTCATAGTAATAAATATCAGTTATTTATCTAAACTTGAACAGGAATGTTTACAGTTTCCAAGGATTCAAGATATCGGTTGAAGTATTCACATAATGCCCAGTAATAATCATCCAACGGTCTCATAGTAAAATCATAGCAATTGTCAAGTTAAGTTTATGAAATGATCATTGCAGTTAGATGACATACTGCACCATTTTTTATTAATGCATATCATTACATTTCATTCATGTGTATTGTGTATTGTAGGCATACATTATTCTATCTCTAGTATTAACGTGTGTACGATAATAATTTGGAAGTACGTACGGGTCTTCAATATTTCAATCCATAAAAATTATGTTTTAAACTTTTTTTAACCATCACATTTTTTTTTTCTTAAAGTTAATCGAAAATGAAATAATTTAAAAAACGTGTTTAAAAAAAATGGAAATTCCCGGAATTTTTATTTTTATACGTAAAAAACAAAAAAAAAATGATGGACTTATATTGACACATTTTATTAACAATTTTAAGTCGATATACATTTTTTTTGTCATGAGAAGCTTTAAATCTAATTGAAAAATTTATTTTTAATTATTTTCTTAAAAGGAACTACATATTAATAATTACCCAGATAGCAATATGACGTCTTTTACAGTTCTCAAAGAACTCTTATTTAAGATTTAGACGTCAAAATTTTGATCAAAATGAGGTCTCCAAGATGTTTTGAGGACGTCCAATGCGCCACCTAAAGAGTGAATCAGGACTTCATAGAGAGAGTTCTTAAAGAGCTCTTTTTTCTGACTTCAAAAAAAGAGTTCTTCAAGAAGTCAGAATTAAGAGCCCTTTCTGACTCCAGAAAAAAATAGTTTATAGAGGAGACATTTTCAGTTTTAATTGTATTGTAATTAATATTAAAAAAGAGCTTAAATTGAAGACAATCAAGTACATTAAAATATATTTTCTTCGAAATTAAAAAAAAAAAAAAATGGTATCGCTCGCAGCTTAGAATACAAATTTACTAGCGGTCACCCATCCAAATATTTACCATGACTAATGCCTCTTAACTGCAGTGATGTAGTGTCCCCTGATCTGCCTTGGCTAGTTGCTCCTAATGAGATAGTAAATTTTTTTTCTCTATACATATAAGCTCTTATGTTCACATAAGATTATAAACGACTTATAGCAACGATAAAAAACTTGATATCAACTTTTCTACCCAAAAATAAAAAAAAAAATACTTTTCGATTTAATTATCGATTTAATTTTTAATAAGTAGAATCACTGAACGTTTTGCTATTTACGATAATATTTTTATAATACAAAAATAAATACACAGCGAAATGAGTTCACTCGAATGCGATTATTTTTATTTTTTTATCATTTTAAAAATTCTTCAATAACGTGAAAAAAATTTTTTTAAGTCCCATACTTTGACGAAGTACAAAATCAGAAAAAAAAAAAACCTATTCAAGAGCTCCTATTCTTGAAGTCTTACGAAGTCAGAAAAAAAGAACTCTTAAAGAGCTCATATTTCTGATGTCTTGGAAAGTATAAAAAAAGACCTCTTAAACAGCTCATCTTTTTGACCTCTTACGAAGTCGGAAAAAAGACTTCTCAAAGAGCTCATATCTGTGATGTCTTATAGAACTTAAAAAAAAAAACTTCTTAATTAAGAGTTCCGAAAAATGAAGTCTTTAAGACGTCATATTTGGAGTTCACAAGGAAGTCTTTGAAAAGACATCTTTAAGAAATCATATGTAATTGTTGGCCGAGGCGAAGCCGAGGTTGACAAACATGTGGTCTGAGGCTTTACTTTTTACTGGCCAAGGTGTGTATACTATTTTTCTGCTCGACGTAGCCGGAATGTATCATGAGTAAGGCCTCGTGACGTTGTCAAAACATTTGGCAACGCAGGTAGACTCAAAGATTACGGGGATCACAGAAGAGACAAGTAACAAACGAACGAGACAGATACAGGGATAACTAAATATTATAGCTCAACAGGCCTTACGGCTACACCTCCCCGCATGGGCCCCGCTGGGCAACTGGTCGGATTGTCATTATATTACCGGCCAGGCCAACGTAGTCGTTGAATGGAGTTGTATAGGGGAGGTTTGATACAGTGAACAATTACGAGGACAGATTGACATTAAATTAAATACAACTCCATTCACATTCTGTCCAGCGTAAAAGCTGGAGGGCAGGGTTTTTCCTTGCCCGGCGAGTTGACAGTGCTTTTGTTTGGTGAGATTTGGGTTTTATTTTAAGTGCGTGTATAGCTTTTTTAAGCCCAAGAAACGGCCTGTTCGAAAGGAGGCAGACAAAAGTCTCACCAAATAACTCGTTCGAGAGATAGGCAGGAGTGACTGTGGCTCTTATGGTAATAGCGAGCCGCGTAAAAAGAGAGATCTCTGAATTTTTCGCGCATTGCGTAAGCAACCCGTTA